TGCTTCGATTCGGCGGAATGCCTACACGCTCTCTGAAAATAGCCAAGACATGACAAGCTTTACTATATGGGACACATCTTCATAATAGGCCCGGCGCTTTTGCCCAGGAGCAGACGAACATGTGTCAACCGCGTATGACTTATTCTTAACCGGCTCTCGTTCTCGAAGATATGTTTTCTTATTTAATGGCATTTTTCGAAGGTAAATAAATATTCCAAAAGTCTAACCTCAATAAACAGGCCTTAGATTTAAACCATTCTCCAATTGCGATTTTCATTGATTTTTATGCATATGATACACAAACCGCAAACATAATATATGAAAATAGCACATGGACACAAAAATAGCCCACTTAGGATGACGAGAAGCTGGGAAGAGTTCGGCAGATCAAAACCAAGAGGATAGACAAACGTTCGGAAAAGGCCAAATGTAAATTCATTACTGTTGCCGAATTTTCTATTTTATCTAGTGTAATTGTCTAAATTAGAGGATAATATGTTTTTACCTTGTTTTTTACAATTTTCATTACATGGTACTAGTAACAACGAAGGGGAAGCAAACAGTAGCAAATGGTAACAAAGAGAGCTTTCAATCAAATCCATTTGTTAGAATTATCAAGGCTGTCAAACCTCAAAACCGAGTAAAATTCACTGTGTTGCCTCAGGCTGATTAGACCAACACGCTTTGTACATTAAACATGTAGGACGGAGAAAGTCTATGAGACCGCGGACCACTTATTACCCCGGGGCGGTGTTCAAAACTTCCGAGTCGATAAAATACCGGGCACTAAGTCAAAATATGGATTTCATAATTTTATTGAACAAGAGAGGACTTTTTATGAAACATAAAATTGGAGGGAAATCCAATTTGAACTCGCTTTTATTAGCCCAAGATCATAATTTAACACCGTGAAGGTAAAGGACGATTTAACGCGAATGGGTCATAAAATTAGTCAGGATTACATGCCAAGTCTAAAAAAAAAGTCGTATATAAAAAATATTTATAGAGTAATAAAAATAAAGCATGGCATTTGCAAAGGAAGAGCATAAACATTTCACACATGGTTAGTTACGTCGACGCTATTATCACATTTATTGATATTTTATATTCTTTGACAATGGATAAATATCCAAATGCGTCAAACAGATAAACAATTGGGTTAGATAGGAAGACCGAATTGAAAAAAAGTCATTAGTTATTTAGTTCAACAATAATATTCATCATTAAGTATTCCATTGAAAAGAACTATCAAATTATGCGAACAAATTTTGACAAAGAGGCAATGTATTCTGAGGATTTTTCAAAACGGCATACTTGAATATTCACAATGATTTGTAATTTGCTTCCTACAATAAAAATTTTTCCTTATTTATTCAAAAATTTCCAAAAAGATTTAAGTTTGGTGGTTAAGTTTTGAGTTTTTAAGTATGGTGTATTTCGTAAGAGGTTTTGTTTTATCTACAACTTAGTCTGTTACAGTTGACATTAATTATTTTTGTAAAATCTAGGTTGTTGGTTATTTTGAAATTAATCATCAATTATTTTTTATATCTTATATGTGTACAAGGTGTCCCAGTTCTTTCTGACGAAACTCAGGGAATCAATTCTACTCTTCGTTTGGAGCAAAAAATGCTCAGGAGAAAATTTTCGGAAAGTTCTCCATTTTGAAGATATTCGTCAATTTAGGTTTTTTCAACTTTTCACTACCTTACCACATAAAAACGCTTAAAACTTCCAAAATGTTGAGACTACAACAAATCCAATTACACCATTTGAAAGAACGCTAAATTTGCTGTAAGATACTTCTTTTCAATAATCTGAATGACATAAAATGTTAGCCAATATCAGTTGGAACATGTCAAAATTACAAAATTTAAAAATTTTAGCCATGATTGCACGTTCTACTGAGGTTACAAAAAATACCTACAACTTGTCAAATTTCACAAAAACTTCTTCATCTAACATGCTTTACGTTGATATATCCAGGTTTTTAAATAACGTTCTAGTAGAGTTGAAAAATAACAAATGAATTTTCGAAAACTCGGGGAGGGGTAGAAATTCAGAAAGTCAGTTATGCATTCGAGAAGAGGGAAAACACTTTGAGCATTTCCTCTGAAAAGTTCCTCCTTTGTTGTTAGGTACTTGCTACAAGAAGAACCATTGCATTTTATTGTATGAAGCTTTGTGGTATGGTTTTTGTGAGATTACAGATGTGTCATTTTTATTTTACAAATCGAGTTCTAATTGATTTATTTGTACCCTCTTCAAATTTACCTTAGCTCACGTTTTCGAACATTCAATTGTCATTTTTCAACTCTACTAGAACGTTATTTAAAAACCTGAATATATGAACGTAAAGCATGTTAGATGAAGAAGTTTTTGTGAAATTTGACAAGTTGTGGGTATTTTTTGTAACCTCAGTAGAACGTGCAATCATGACCAAAATTTTAAATTTTGTAATTTTGACATGTTCCAACTGATATTGGCTAACATTTTATGTCATTCAGATTATTGCAAAGAAGTATCTTACAGCAAATTGAGCGTTATTTCAAATGGTGTAATTGGATTTGTTGTAGTCTCAACATTTTGGAAGTTTTAAGCGTTTTTATGTGGTAAGGTAGTGAAAAGTGGAAAAAACATAAATTGGCGAATATCTTCAAAATAGAGAACTTTCCGAAAATTTTCTCCTGAGCATTTTTTGCTCCAAACGAAGAGTAGAATCGATTCCCTGAGTTTCGTCAGAAGGAACTCGGACGCCCTGTATATTTTTTGTGGCCTTATGTATTTTGCATATTAACATGCATTTCGGGTCACGTGCATTTGCGGCCAAGTATCCTGGCCCTAAATGCATAGCGATTGAAATATATGGCTATAAAAATTAATTAATGTTTTAGTTCAAAAACCCAACAACCCGATTATAATATATTTTAACAAAAAATAAATTGAATTACCAAAAGTTTTGATATTTTTTGAAGTCAGCGAGGTAAACCTTTTGTGTATAGGTCAGAAGTTAAACTTTCCAAATTACAAATACAATAAAAAGATATAGTTTTCAAATATAAAATTTCAGAACAATTTTTTTTTAGGATATGAAATTGATTACTAAAAATATTCTACAGAGATATGATGAATTTCCAGTTTGAACAGATATTTTGGAGATTCAAGTTCAAAGTATTGAACCTTCTACGAGTTTTTTCCAATTATTACAATAACAAATAAAATTTTAAAAAGCGTTTTTTAATCCATAGATTTAAAAAATTTGAACATCTGAAATTTGATTCTAAAACTATTTAACATGTAAATCTCTGGGGTAAAAAAACGTGATTTATATTTATTTTTTCTAAATACAGTTATAATTCTGTGGTTTTAATTACAAATTGAAAATGCCTTTTTCCAAATTCTTAGATTAAAAAATTTAAAAATTAAAATTCTTAACTGAAAATATTCTAGAAATGATGAATGTATATTTTGTCCTTTTCTCATCATTTCGTCCGCATATGCTCGTTGTTTTGGCTTGTCACACCCGCTCCGGATTACCCCATCGTCAGTAGTGTGTCAATTTTTGTATTTTATTCTTCTTATCCCTGCCTAATCAGTGAAAATGGCTAAATGTTAAAACGCATTGATAGACAAACACTTAAACGTGAGAAAAGGCAGATCAAAGCGATCGTAAACGACTGAACTACGAAATCAAAATTAGTTATTAATGTGTGGTGATTAGTGACCATTTGTCGATGATTATTCAGAAATCGTAAAATGCGGTCTGATGTGATGTAAGTTTCAGAAAAACATTTTCTTTATCGTGCCAACGTTTCGATCTTTATTGAGATCATCTTCAGGACCTGGGATTTACAAACAATGTTTAAATTTAGCAAAAACATGTAGGATGTGAAAAAAAGTGAATTTATACAATGCATGTATATATATATATATATATATATATATATATATATANCTTCTGTTTAATTGTGCCATTCTTGCATGTAGTGTTGAGAATCCCAGTGAGATATTGCTGTTTTATGTTTATATACGTTGGATTTTGAAGGGGGGGGGGAAGGAAGTCGGTATAAAAGGACATTTTTGTATAAGGATATCACCAGACCGCATCTCACGATTTCTGAGTAATCATTAGTAATTAATTTAACGATAACATTAACTATAAAACATTTAATGAAAAACATCAAGTTTATAAACAATGTAAACAAATTTTGACAAAAGATGATGTGTGCAGTCTTCCAAACGACATACTTGAACATTTCTAATGATAAGTGTTATATAATATATAAGTTTATCGGGTGTTCGTTTTTCGACTTGTTTAGAACCTGTTTTGTAAACATTTGCCTAATTACATTTGAGGATTCGTATTTTAAAATTACATATAGTAATTCACTAATTTTCGTGATCCGCTTGACCAATTAATATCTTTCAATTAATTAAGGTTTTTAGTTGAGATAAAAAAGTCAGTGTGACGAGCGGGGATTGAGATGGGAAGTTAGTGTCCGAGTGGATCGAAGTCACGATAGCTCAAGTGGTAGAGTAGCGGCTTATCTAGCCGAAGGTCGTGGGTTCGAATCCCGCTCGTGACACCGACTTTTTATCTCAACTAAAAACCTTAATTAATTGTAAAAAATAGTGTTGTTTTTTTTATACAGATTCAAAAATTTGAAAATTTAAAATTGGTTTCTAAAAACATTCTACATATAAAGCATTTACATCCACGACACAATGTGATAGATTGAGGCAAGAAAAACCTATGATTAAGATATAAAAACAATGCACCATGTCATTTTTCAATGTACAATGTTTCAACCTGCAGTTTGGTCGTTGATCAGATCAGTCTATCTTCGCTTGCTTGTTCTGCCCACTTGGTAACATCACCCCCTGTATGAGCCATCACTTATGGGCGCAATTATCAGGCCAAAAGTACAAAGATAGGCCAAGAAAAACGATCAATGATCAGACACGATCAAAAAATTAATGATATTCTTTCTTTTTTACAGCTTTAGGATTGGAGCCCGACTTCCTGTTCCCACTTGAGAACCTCACGATCGCTCAGGGGAGGGATGCGATGTTCACGTGCGTCGTAAACAACCTGGGTGGATACAGGGTGAGTGGGGACTCCACACTACCAAGGGTGCGTGTACATTCATTATCTCTCACTATCCAAAAGCCTCTTCTTCTTCTACTCTTCTCTATCTCACTGTCTCTTCTATCTATCTCTATCTCTATATATCTGTTTGTTTATTTATAACGTTTTCTCTTTTTGTTTTCTTTTCCCGGCGATTCTGAATGAGCGGAATATCAAACTTTGCTTTGATCCTATCTTCATGGAAATGCTGAAGGTTTTAAAATTCATCTTTCTCTCCCTCGAACATCAACGACAATTCTAAAAAAAACATTAAACAATCTAAAATCTACTCATTTTTTTTTTCAAAGTATGAAACAAAAAACACTTCTGTAATTTCCAGTTGAATGTTTATACCAGCAAAGTTTGACTTTCGAATCCGGAATTTTTTTCACTCTCTCTCAGACTTGTATGTCTATATTGTATCACTTGTGCACAGCGCTTAAAAATTAGAGCACTTTAAATTGAAGCACAAAGCACTTTTTTGTTCACTTTGTATAAAAAACTAAAATAAAAACTAAAAGAAAATAGAAAGAAAAAGTACTTAAGACGTCAATTGCCAGCCCTTTTTTTAAAGTAGGTATCGACATTTTTCAAAACCCTAATTATATCACATTAATAGATTTTATTATTTTTTAAAACACCTGCCAATAGGAATTTTCCTTTAAAAATTCACGGTTTTTCACTTAAAATTGGTCTAACTTTTTCAGTTTCGGGCAAAGCAATTGGTTGGTTATGTTGAACGACCAAACCATATATTGTATTTCTGAAAACGTACAAATTATAAAAGAATATTCATTGGAAAAATTTTCCATATTGGAGGTTTAATTGTAACTTTTTTAAAGTTAGAATAGAAACATGTCCAACCCAAAAATCGGTTCTTATCTAGTTTTTAAATTTAAGATCATTGTTGGAACGTAATAACAAAAATAAAGTTACTTTTAGTTATTAATTTAAAAACGGAGATAGCATGCTTAAGTATAAAAAACATTATTATTATTATACGGATGGTCCTAGTTTTTCAGATGGCCCCGTTGAATTTCTCTTGAACCAATGACGCCATAAAAAAAAATTTTAAAAAAACATTTTTACCACTTTTTTGGAGTACATCCTGGCACATCATTAAAAAAAAATTGGAGATGTACTCCGGAATTTTAAGCCGATCGCTCTCATCTTGCCCAGGGACTTCGAGACTGTAATTATGACAGGTGTCTAACGTTTCTTGCACAAATGTCGATTTGAGAGGCTAAAGAAAATGTTCTTCCATATGTCATATTCCTCTAACGGCACACTAAAACGTTCGAATTTTCGAACATGGGCCAAAGAAAATCCGAGAATTTCGGACTCTTGTCATCATCAAGCGTTTCACAGTATCGACGTTTGGTGTCGACTTCTCGAAAATAAATTAATTGGGTCTTATTTCTACGAAAATAATTTAAATGGTTCTCAGCTTCTCAATTTTTTGAGGGAGGTTTTACCAGCAACATTAAATGATGTTTCTGTGCAACAACGACAAAGAATGATTCTCCAGCTTGATCGATGCCCCGCACAAGATTCTTTGCAGGTGAAACGTTATTTGAATCGTCACTTCCGGGATAGGTCCTCATGACCCGATCTGTTGACCTCCTCGGTCACCCGATTTAACTCCACTTGACCATTTCCTGTGGGGCCATTTATAAAAACAGTTTCTACGCCAATCATAACCCAGCAACCTCAGTTGAAGAGTGGCAAAGGATAGAAAATGGTAGAAAATCCTCTGAGCACCGGTGAAGTGGTTAAAAAGCGCAAATTTTTGCCACTTTACGCAAGGCATGTAGTTCGATGAAATGTGATTTATACATAGCTAACCAAATGATTTTTTTTTTCAATCTTTCTGCTATAACTGATCCTTTAAAATGATCTGTCAGCATGTATATGGGTGTATTTAAAATTATAAAGTTGAACTGAGCCTGAGGTACCCTGTATAATTTTTCTCGAAAAAAAATTGAAACTAGGCTAAAAAAATATTAAACACTTATTTTTTTATTTTATGTTTGTTTTTTTTTTGTCAGCGTCATTGCTTCAGAGAAATTCAGCAGGGCCATCTAAAAAGGACACCCAGCATATTTAGTTTTTTATTCCAACTACTGAGACAATTTATCTTTATTTAGCTCAAACTTAAAATATTATCAGTAATTTATGTTTGTTGAAAATTGTTTATTAATTTATAATTTAAAACAAGAAAACCTAGAAAATAAACAACGTTTCCATCGAGTTTAAAATTAACCAAGCATATGTTTATTGACAATGTCCCGTATATTCAATATTCCATGTTAAAAACAATTGTAGAAACTAACATCGAACTAAATGTAAAAAATGTTTTTCACTCTTTTTGTATACCCAAGTACACAATTGATTAAAAATTATTTTTGGCAAATGGTATTATATTTCTCCCGCAATGGAAAATCTCTCGGTCAATCACAAAATCTTCTTTTATTTAAAAAAGTGCATTTATTTTAAAACAAGCAATGTCTATTTTCAACTTGGAAATATAAAATATCTGGTACATGCCAATGGTTAAAAAAAAACATTTTATTTATTTTACTACAATATCATCGCTTTTTTGTTTGAGTAAATAATTAAAAAGGTTCTAATAATACAACTCCTATTTACTAAATTAAAGTGTAACTTAACTAATTTGTGACACCTTTTTTTCCTAGAAAAATCCAGACATATCATTCCGATTGATTATGACATACAGATCTGATTTTCCTATCAATAAGTTACAACTATACGGTTTTACAATTGTTCCGTCATTTCTTTAGAGTGTTTTATTTAAAAAAAATGATAACCAACAATGATTCTAATTTTTTCCTTTTTGTCTTAACTTCAAAAGAAATTGTTCACCTTATTCTTATAAAATAGTGCCACTGGTTTTAGTTTTGCAACTTTCTGTTCAGTCATTTTATGCCAGCTTTTTCTTGATAACTTATTTTATAAGTTGATAACAGTGTTAAAAGGATGATCTGTTTTGTTTTTCTTTTTTGTCCGAACCAATTTTATAATAACATGCTTTCATCGGATACAACATAATACATGATTCACTAGTTTTCGTGGTCCCCTTGACCCATTACTATCTTTCAATTAATTAAGATTTTCAGTTGAAATATAGTCAGTGTCACGAGCGGGATTCGAACCCACGGTCTTCGGCTAGATACGCCGCTGCTCTACCACTTGAGCTAATATGACTTCGATCCACTCGGACACCAACTTCTCATCCCAATCCAAGCTTTCGAATTTTCCCTCCTTTTTGCCATTTTTCAAATGTCGTGTAATTTATTTGATTCTCGGCGACAAATGAAACGGCCACACCAATAATACATGATGTTTTATAATCAGCCAAACCTAATCAAACCTGACTTACAATTTCACAGAAGCCAAGTATAAAGAAATAGATTAATAATTTTTGAAAATATTCCGAAAAGGTCAACAACGGCATACATCAGTGACATTGTTGTCTACATTTTTAAATTTCTAACGTTAAATATCTTATATACGGTAGTACCTAGATTCTGATACGAAAGCACGCCGGATGCGAAAGGTGTTTTTTACGACTGTGTGTCGCCAGTACCAATTCTAAAAGCATGATGTAACTTTCAAATTGGTTCAGCAGGCTTCCCCAGCAACTTGGTTCATTTTAGTTATACATACTTAAATAATCGACATTGTTGTGAAAGTACGCCTCATGAAACTTGTTGGACTTTCATATTCAAGGTTTTCATGTGGATGAAGGACTAGCCTGTTAGCTTTTGCTGCGAATCCTACCACCCACAATTCGGAGAGAGTAGCTTACCCTCAGTTATGAGGCAGGGTTCCTGACAAGCGGGGGTTCCTGTTCACCGACATGTTACTTGGATGTCAGTACTTGGAAGTATATGACTTACTTCGTTTTCAGGCGCGCCCGTTTTGAATCTGCTTCGGCGAATCTCTTGGCCCTTTCGGAATGATCGTCCCCGGCCAGATCCACACTGCCCTATCTCTACCTCACTATGTTCCTCAAACAACGTAGGTCTAGATATGCCAGAGTTCACTGATGAGCAAATTAATCTTACCTCGTGTGCACAAACTACCTGAGTTTGTTGTCAGCTCTATAGGGCTGATTTTTTGGTGGATCGTTTGTTTTTAAAAAATACGATGTGCTGAATCAGTTTCTGGATTCCTGGACACGTCGGGCTCGAGACGGCCTACTCTCCAGACCTTAACATCACAATCCTATCTGCTAAGCGAGCAACAAGTAATGTGGTAAAGAAAAGTTAGCAGCGTCAGTGAACCGGGTAGATAGGTGGCCCCCAGAGAATTAAATCACAGAAGAAGGATCATCCTCCGAATTAGCTGTACTCCGTTGACACTAAGACACTTTACCTTAGGGCCAAAAAGCTGTCGTTTGCAACCGACGTAAAGAAAATTGTTGCACAATGTGACTGATTTTCATTCCTTGTCTTCATATACGAAGCTAATAGCAATGTCACCCGATATAAAAGTCGGACGAGTATTCGCCAATTTTTGTGAATAAGCCCTGGTTTCGCCAACAAACAATTTGAAAGTTAAAATTTTCCGTTTTTTAATATTTTTACTTCGCCTCCTATTTGCTCAAATCAACAATATGAATATATCACTTTACAGCATTTTTTATGTAAATTACAATTAAAACAAATTGGAAATGCCATCAAAATATATCAATAACCACCCAAATATTTTTCAAATAAACTAGGTCCTAAAAACATTTTCAGTGAAGCTAATATGAAATTTCTTTTTAGCGCCTCTAGAGTCCACTAAATATAAATTTTTGTTTGAATTTAAATTTATCAATTTTTATATTGATTGGGTACTTAACAATGTTTACAATTTTTAAAACGTCGTTCTCAAAATATTTGATTGAAACAGCTATAATTCAAAAACGGCTAATAGGATTTAAACGTCAACCAAACCGTTTAAAAGGAGAG